TACTCTGTATTATGACATCCTACTTGGCTATATCTTCAGGGTGCAAAAATAGCCACAGACAGTATTTAAATGATTATGGTTATCACAATAAAACTTTAGTGACGCTGAAATTTGAACTTCATGCAATTTTTACAAATCACTAGTAGTACATTCTTATAATTTTTGGGGCTGGGGAGATAGCGCAGTAGAATAAGCGCTTGCCTGATAAGTGCAAGGGCCTGAGTTCAATCCCTGGTTCCACCAAAAAAAAAAAAGAAAAAAGAAAAGAAAAGAAACATTCTTACAAATTTCTCCCAAACTATCTAAAAATGTAAAAAAACATTATACTGGTTTTGGGGCCGGGGAGATGGCTCAGTGGAATAAGCGCTTCCATGGCAAGCACAAGGGTCTGAGTTCAAACCCCAGTTCCGCAAAAAAAAGAAATTATACTGGTTTTGAGTGACTCTTTGAAAAGTAGTACAGTCTAGGGTATGGTGATTAAACACAACAGAAATACCACAAAGTGTCTACAGCCATGCCATCCTGAATGTACCCTATCTTGTTTGATCTCAGAAGCTAAGCAGGGTCAGGCCTGGTTAGTACTTGAATGAGAGAAATACTTGAAAGTAGGAAAATAAAACTTAAAGATATTAAATATGAGTATCATTTTTATGAGCAAACAGGAAAGCAACGGACTGAATCTGGCGAGGCACAAAGACCAAATAACACATACACATTTTCACTTAAAACAGCAGTATTTATACTATAATTGAAAAGAGAAATCCAATTCTGAGCTTGATAAATGGCTACCAGAGAAATAAAAAACAGTGTTTTATAGTGAAAATGTATCACTTTCAGCAATAGATGGTGATATCACCTGACTTTCAAGTGTTATTTCCTAAGACAAAATTTTAGTAACGAGAAAAGACAAGGTCAAGCCAGGCAAAACTTCAAGACCCTAAACTTGAAAAATTATGTAAGAGATCATTTAACACCCTTAGAAAACATCTGAGGAGTTGTATACTTCTCTATTAATTGTGTGTTATACACACAACATCTCTATTAACTAAGTATACATATATAACCCCTTCTCTATATATATATGTACTTAGTTAACAATTTACAAGAGTTGAAATCTGAATCTTGCAACACCCCAATCATTAGAATGTTAATTTTCTACTAGCTGTCTAAATAATAAAAAAATAATTTCATAAAAATTTATAAGCGGGTATTATCTTGACTCTCAGAAGCTAAGTGCAGTAATAATACAATTTGAGGACACTAAGAAAACATGGTAAACAGGAAGGACACGCACAATTTGCCAATGCTGTTTAACAATATCAATATAGTAACTTTGATAGTTACACTACCTAATATATTTATCCACCATCCCTTCTACATCCTTGCATCAATACTTTTTCACATCTTTCAATTTTACTTAATAGGGTACAAACTGATGTTCCTTTGTTTTTAAGTTCTATTTTCTTCTCCAATTTGTCCCATACTTCCCAGTGCTTTTCGTCCATGTTTTCAGTAAAATACCTAAATATCTTCTCCCCAATACACTATCCAAATTCTATGCCTTCAAGTATTCTCTCCTTTATTTGAACTACTTTATAAAGGAGTAATGCTTTATACTTTCTTATAGCATTCACAACACCTAGCTTTTCAGCAGAAAATAATCAGGGATAATAACATAGGCTACACCTAGCTTAAGCTAGAAAAACGAACACTTACTTTATTATTAACTTTTCATAATGAAAAACTTGAGAATTAAACCAAGTGACAAATAATAGTCATATTAAATCATAAAATTAGTTATATAACTTTGTCCAAAGTAATAGCTTTAATTTTAAGTAAAATCCACTGATGACAAAAATATATATATATAACTGTTTCATTTTACTGTATATCTCAGCCATTGTGGATAGTAAGCTTCCAAAATTCATTGGGGCGGTCAAAAGCCCATCTCTGTCTCTCTTAAACTCTTACTTGTAGCTGAAACATTCAAAATGTTTCCTCTTTTCTGACAAAGACCCTGGCAGGAATAGTTGTTCTTTTTGTACCTCTCAGTACTTTTAACTATTTACTCTTTAAATAAAGCTTGAGCTCCCCTTGTCTCTTTATAATCTCTGAGGCAAGGACATAGTAAATGCTACACAAAAGTAACCTCAATTAACAAATCAGAGATTATAACATTTTTTAAATGCAAATAATCTCATGGGTTCTTTTTTTTTTTTTTTTTTTTTGAGGATTGAACTCAGGCCCTTGCGCTTGCCAGGGAAGCATTTATTCCACTGAGCCATCTCCCCAGCCCTTCGTGGTTTTTTTTTTTAAGTTTTATTTAAGTATAACACATTTAATAGATCAAAAACAGAAGCTGTCTTGGTCTGAATGGATGGAAGAGTGTGTGAGTGTGTGTGTGTGTGTGTGTGTGTGTGTGTGTACCACAGGGACCAAGGAACACAGTTTAAAAACCAATTAAGATTTATATTTAAAAGTCTGGGCACTGAACTAGTTTCTCCAGAAAATCACATTCCCCTGGTATACTTTAAAAGATCACATTCCCTTGGCATACTTTAAAAGTATATGACAAGTAGTGTCTTTTAGGAATGAATATAGAACACTACAATGATTCTCAAAAGTCACTATCTGTACACTTTGATGTTTTATAAAAAAAGAAAACCCTGAGTGCCCAAATTAAGTTTTCAAATAGTACCTATGGAAGTTTAAGTTGAGATAAAACTTAGAAAAATCCCTATTATATCACTTTATACAGTTTTTGAATACTAAGGCAAGACTTACTGTATATCCTGCTGTTAAACATGTTTAATGTCTTCATGAGATGTACTTTTTCTTCAATTAAAAGTTATAAAACTTACTCTAAGCTGTACCATAACTAAAAATACAAAAAAGAAATACAAACATATTTCATTCCTTAGAAAATCTTAACCTTGAAGGTCAATATAATTCATTTCCTCTAAAATACTAAAATAAGTACACTAAATAAGCCTTTCAAACAAAAAGAGGGGAAGAATAGAAATGGTTTTCAAAACATTTAGGATAAGTATCCACTGAGGGAATTAAGATACTAGCTTTGTCTCACATTTTGAGTTGTTAAAGTTGTTTCAGTGAGAGGGAGGTTAAGTCACTAAAAAAAAAAAAAAAAAAAAAAAAAAAAAAAAAAAAAAAACTGACAAAGATAACAAAATTCTTTCCCAATTCTTACATCAAAGTGTAACTAATCCCTCTCCCAATGTTCTTAATAATTAATATACAATGGTAAAATAAGACATGCTGACCTGGGTTTAAAAAATGTAGGCCACGTACTACAACCAAATAGATGGTCATCTAATAATCTGTATCATCCCATGCTGCTTTAGATCAATTATATCAATAGTGCTCTTTCAAGTTAAAAGTACATGCATACCACCCAGGCTTTCAATTCAGTATTTAAAGTGTTATGCTGCTTTCCAAGTTTTTAGTGAACCATACTTAAACACTCTGCTTCTATACAGATACAAAAAATTTGGATCAATTACAAAGAGCAAATAACAAAGGAGAGAAAGTAACTTAAAGAAAATTTTACTCTGGAAACTGTCTAATAGGTTAGCTATGTTGTAAGTATGCTGTTAGTATGTATATCTGAACATATTAAGTATTCATATTAAAGTACAAGTGAACTGGAATTGACAGGAAAAACAATTCCAAACACATATTACCGGTGTTATTCTTCAATCAAAATACTTTTTCGAGTGGCTGAAATTGTTTAGAACTATTTTTTTAAATGATTTAGACAACTCTTCCGTGAAGTAACTAACAGTCTCAATACAGATAAACATCCCTAACATCCTGTTCAAATTGAAATTTGTTTTGGATTTCAGTGGTACCCCTCCCCCTCTCCTAACACCTGTAGAAGGCAATACTGTACATGCAAATACAGAGGTGTTCCAATGTTTTACAGCAGAACATTTGAACGGCTGCCACTGTTTCCTACCTATTTCAAAGGAACAAGTAAATTATGGAAATTTAAAACGCGCACACAAATCTATGTATATATTTGTTTTGATCTGAATTTAAAACATTTAATTCCTTTTAGGCATTGGTCAGAAGTAGATTTCTATCATGGTAAAAGTGTAAGCGCCTCCGCTGGAACTTTTTGGGAACTAGTAGCCATCCTAACAGTCCGCCCTTCTAAGTACCTTACAGCCTCAGCTACACCCAGAGCCTCCCTCACTTGCAATTCACACACTGGGAGGGAGGGTTCGAGGGAGCCGAGTGTGTGTATTTATGTGTGGATAAGTGCACGCGCACTCCCGCGCAGCGCCCCACCCCCACCCCGATACTTTTCTTTGGTAGAAACAGAGACTCTAAAGGTTACCCTGGCGAAAACTCATAATCAGAGTCCCAACCCTGGCATAGTCAACAGACAAGACTCATGTGTTTTAGTTGCGCAGTGCAACTTCTCACACCCTGGCCCAAGCTCAAAGCGCAGATGGGAATTTGGTGAAGAGAAACCAGGGAGGAGTCGGGGAGATAAGGAAAAAGTGAAAGGGCCGATCCCACAGAAAGGCGTTTAAGTTTGCAACCGAGATCAGGTTTCGCGAATCTGCGCCCACCCCCTCTCTCCCTTCCGGGTGGAACTCGTTAACAGCAGCAGCAACCCGGCCAAACACCGCCACCTTCCTTCCCCACGCACCCCACGAGCCCAGGGCAAGAGAGGGTGGCGAGCGAGAGCGGACGTCTGGCGGGGCCGGCTCGATCCCGAGCCGCCAGCAGGCCTCGCAGACCCCGGCCCGTCACCTGTGGAGAAGGCGCCCTCCGCCCGGCCTCTCTGCCCTTCACGCCGACCGTGCTCCCGCCGCGGCAGCCGCTCCCGCCCGTCCTGCGAGGTCCCGGGCTGCACCAGGCTCCCCTCTGCGGCCGGGGCCCCAGCCCTTGAACTGGTTACAACCGGCGGCGGGAGGGTCCTGCGGGGAGGAGGCGGGCAGGCCCGGAGTGCGGGGGTCGCCAGGTCCTACCTAACAGCGTCGCTCTCCTCCGTCTCCTCCTCAACGGCAGCGGCCCCGGCGGTGGCAGCGGCAGCGACATTCCTGGGGAGCGCTCCCGCCGCCGCCGCCGCCTCCTCCTCCACTCTCTGCTCGCCTCTCGTCCCCGGCGCGCTCACCGAGCGCCGCGTCCCTCCAGCCACTTCCCCCGCCCTCCCAACACACACGCCCCGAAACCCTGAGCCCCACGGCTCCCGCTGCCTGGTAACCTGCCCGCGCTGTCTCCCCGCCACCAGCGGTGGCCCCGTTCCTCCCCCCTTCCCTTGAGCCCGCCGCCGCGCTGGGCTCAGTAATGGCGGCCACTCGGGCTCCCTCGCGCTGACGGATCCCTCTCCCTCTCTCCCGAACTTTACCTCAGCATCTCTCCCGGCGCGCACCGCCGGAACGCGCGCGCGCGCGAAGCCACACGCCCGGCCAGGGGCTGAGGGGCGGCGCAGCCGGGACCCGGA